ACCTAGAACCCCCACACGCCTAGACGCCCCACCACCCCAGGAGAGCTCCAAGAATTCCCTTAGAAGAAATCAAGAAAGCAAGAAAGCTTAAAGAAAGATCCTTCATAGCCAAGGAATTAATTAAGGCTAAGAGGTAACCCATGTCTCAACAAAACCTATTTTCATAGCTATGATTTCCCCTTAGGGTTTCCCCCATATTATTGTGAATGGCGAAATTATGGTAATTGTTATTGATGTTGATTTGATGATTCCATGGGGAATCTTGATAATCTTGATATTGGGAGTTTCTTGATAATTATGATGTTCTTGATGATTAATTGGGATTTTGATGATTATGTGTTATTCTTGATGATTATGATGTTCTTGATGATTAATTGGCATCCTCGATGTTTATGTGTTATTCTTACCGAATCTTGCAATTAGAAGATGAATCGTATTCTTGTTGATATAAAAGTGATTAGAACCCTATGTTGTATCGTATGATCTTATTCTTGGATTATCGGGTGGGAATTCGCATGTTTGGGTGTTGATTATGTTTAGAAAAGCATGATAGGTTATGTGCCGTTCGGTTCTCGTATTTGATCCGTTAATTGTCTACGTGTTGTCGTTAATTGCGTTGAAAAGTGTCCAAGCATGGTTTCGGGTTCCACAACGGTTCCCGGGACGAAAAGTGGTGAAAAGAGTCAGTGGGGGGTAGGTGGGGGTAGGGGACCCGCCACCTACCCGTGGCGTTCTCGGGCAGCCCGACCGCGGGCAGCCGGCGGGCGGGCAGCTGCCCGCCGGGCACCCGCTGCCCGGAACAGTGGCAGCCGGCGGGTGGACCACCACCCACCGGCTACCCGCTGGAATTTGTTCCCCCTCGGGACCCCGGCTTCCCCGTTTGATGTTTCCCCGATCCCCGTGGTGTCCCAACGGACCCCGCTTGTCGTGCCTATGTCTAGTTTGATATTTCGGGTACCGTTCGTAGGTTTATGAGTCTATTATATTGCATGCTAGTTGAATTGGTATCCCGTTGACCTAGGTGGAAGAAGTATGAACCCCTTAGGACTATTCTTAGTAAGTGATGGATCACGCATAGGTTTTGTTATACGTTTTCTCCCCCTTCCTAATGTGTAATGTGGGTTGCATGTGCTTGCTATGTGTTATGTGTGTGTTACCCCAATTCGGTTGCGATCGGATTGGTTATCCTGAGCTGCGGTTCAGAAGCCGGCTACAGTCAGACGGGAATTCCTGGCTGCAGTCGGATGACGGTATCCTGGGCTGCGGTCCAGAAGCTGGTTGTAGTCAGATGGGAATTCCTGGCTGCAATCAGATGACATCTTGCCTGAGCTGCGGTTCAGAGGCTGGCTGTAGTCAGATGGGAATTCCTGGCTACAGTCAGACAATACACTCTCGTGGGCTGCGGTCCACTGTTTGGTTGCGATCAAACATTATGATGAGCTGCGGTTCATTAGTCGGTTGCGATCGGCTCCTCCGTAAGGTGAGACGGGGCAGGGTGCTGCGGGGCCGTGTCAGAGCTATATGCGCTGACCCTCATGTATGGGCATGCGATTGGTCCTGTGGCGCCAACAAAGTGTGTTATGTGTTGTGATATGGATGAGTTATGATTACGAGTGTCTTGGGGGATGTGACTATGGGATTTATATTGGGGATTGTTCATGTTGGGTTATGATTATTGTTTATGCTTTGCCTTATCTGCCTTATCTATTGTGAACTGCATATGCTCGTTATAACTGTGCCTGTGTCTAGCCTTATCTGTCGAGTCATTCCCGGTTTTAAAGCTAGAGTTCGTAGGATATATTCTCATGCTCAAAATGGTTTTCGTATATCTATATATATTGCTATATGTATTGTATTTCAACGCGCTGGAGTGGGTTACCAGCATCTCTCGCTGAACAGATATATTTGGCTTTCAGGCACAGGAGATTAAGTCACTGGAGCGCGCTAGAACTTGGAGTGTAGAAGTAGATAGTTTCCTTTGGCCTGCGTGCCACGTTTATGTAATTACATTTTGAGGATATTAGTTAGTTAGCCTGTGCACTTGGGTTCTCTAGCCCAGGTGTGGCATAGCACCCCGTACGCTTGTATTTATATCTTGGGATTAATTAAGTATGTCCATTGATGCCTGATGAATAATGCGAATTGAACAGCGTGGGAGAGTCTTCTTCGGCAACCGTACGGTAAAGAGAGAGATCAAGAAAAATAAAATATCTAAGGCTGATTGAATTCCTATAATTTGTAATTTGATCCAATTAAAACAATAGTAAAAACTCAAAATTACCCCCTTAACATAAAAACATGTGCACAGTCAAATAAAATCTGCATAAATAATTAAATAAATCATATTCATCCAATTCCAAAATCTAACGATCCTAATCAATCCACACGTTTATATTTTAAGGGCTGTTTGTAATTGAATATAATCCTAATATATATATATATATATATATATATATATATATATATATATATATATATATATATATATATATATATATATATATATATATATATATATATGTATATATATATTTTTTCCCCTTCTTGGAATTCATAATATGATTGAATAAATAGTTTGGCAAATTGTGATTAGTTTGTTAGCATTTCCTGTTTGATATGTAGTGGCTATATTAAGTAAGCAATAAACATGTGAGTGTTCTGAGCCATTGACTGACACTTCGGTCTTATTTTCTTTCTATTGTGCGATTTCTTCCATAATTTTGTTTCTCTAGAACTTGCCTTGATTCTTTTTTGAAAGCTAATTAGACCATGCATGATTCAAGTGTGATTAAGGCCATTATTGATCTTGAGCCTCACTAGCCAAATAACCGATTTGTCCTATGATTTATTTCCTCTTGTTAACCACTTTGAGCTTTATGGCCATTCTTTTTTTTTTTTTTTGAACAACATTACAAGCCTTTTATATTTAAAAATAATGCCTTCACCCAGCTGAATAACTAGTGGAGAAAATTTTGAATTATTCGTGTAATCTACGTGAGGTTGTGAGGATGAAGTGTGGGGGAGGTCACTTTCTTGTGTTAATATGATGGAGAATGAGGTGGGTTGTATCTTCATTGCCGATTTGTCACTGGTCTTCTATGAAAAAGAAAACGAAGACAATTCATGATTCCAAAAAAATATGGAAATTGAAAAAATGAAAAAATGGAAAAATGGAGAATATATGTTTGAAAAAGAAAAATATTGCTGAAAATTTATGAGAAAATGAGAAAGAATCAGCAATTGATTTTGAGTTGAAGTTACTTCTAAATAAATGAAGTAAGGGGAAATTCTGGTAATACTGAGGAAGCATTCTATACTTGGTGTTGAGCAAGTATCTTGGATTATTTGTATTTATTTGCTCCACTAGTTTGAAAGCTTTTGTTTAAGCTACTTTCCTAAATATTCCCTACCTTAACCCTAGCCCCATTACAACCTGTGGAAAGTCCTTATGATTTGTGTCATGCATGACTCTTGTAGTGGTGATTGAGAAGATATGCAAGCCTATGGTAGAGCAATTTTATAGGAATGAACTTGAGTGAAATTAATACCCATCAAACACTTGAGTGATGAGTGATATTCCTGTGAGGGCTTACTTATTTAGTTTTCTCAATTTTCAGACAGGGGTGTTATCTTATTAATTGCAGGGTGCTTCAGATTGTTGTTCATGATATGTTATGAGTTTTGGGGATTTTATTTATTTACTTCGCAAATAATATTTTTTACTTGGGGACAAGCAAACGTTTTAGTGTGTGGGAATTTGATAGGCGTATTTTACACCCATATTTTAGGTACATCTTTATAATAATTTTTTATTAATTATTTACTATTATATATTAATTATTTCTTTTTAGAGTTTAATAATTAATTAAATAAATAAATGTTTTATAATGCTATTTAGTTAAATATGTTAATGTTAATTAGGGTCCAATTATTTTATTAACAAAGGGACGTACGTCCAAAGCAAAACTAACATTATATGTTGTTGTTTCTTTCTTTCTTTCATGCGTAAATGGCGCAGCACCAAGCAGCATGTCAATTCTATCTTCCACTCGCCAAATTATGCGGCATCACCCACGTAGCACGGCCACAAACACATCCGCATTAATCTCTCAATGATTAGTATAAATAGCTTATTGCTTTGTAAGGACAGATAGCTTGTCTTTTTCTCACAATATATACATATATTCTTCTCGTATCAATGGCTCTACGCAGCTAATTTTCTTCTAGGTTGGTTTAGTGAATTGAAGCTTCGGAATTGATATGATTATGCTGTAAGATTATTTATTTATTTTTATTATATAATTTTTATGCATTTGGGTATTAAATATTCTTCTAAGTTATTTGAATAGTTGTATCATTTAATTGCTAGGGAGGCCTACTAGTTATTTACTTGATATAATTATTTGCTATATTAGATAATGTTGTGCTACAAATTATTCTAATATTCAGTAGCAACTGGGTTAATTATTGACGGCTTAGTGATAATTGGACTCGGGAAGAATATTTTCCTAAATTAAATGCAACCGCTTGTGCTTGTGTTATTTAGTTTGTCGGTTTTCCTAGTTCCTATTGTTGCTATTAAATTAAATCTATAGCGCTTGTCTTAGGTTATTTAGTAGTTAGGGGTAATTAAACCGCGTGTGCTTTAGTTACCTACAACTAAGGGAAAACGGAAATGAAATAATTTCACGACAAATATTCAATTGCATATTAATTACTTTATTAATCAATGATCAATGTTAAATTCCGGTGGTGGATCTTTACTAACCAAGGTTTCTTATTATAAGTGTTTTCGATATATTATTTTCATTGCTTTATTCATTCAGTTAAATTACTTGTTTATTTAAATTCTCTTTTAATTTATCTTTATTCTCGATATATTTCAGACCCCCTTCCTTTAATTTGAGCACATATTTTAAACTAGTTACTCCTCATGGGATCGATCCTTACTCCCGCTACTACGTTTGTAAGGTTTTAATTTGGGAGCCTACGACAACTCGTCAGGAAGTTAAAGAAAACTGAAACAAGCTAAGGACAAAAGATTTTTCACCTGGTGCAATGTAACCCAATGTAGCAAGGGTTTTTGTGTATGCAATGCTATCATCACTACCCAGGAGCTTTGCGATTCCAAAATCACCAACACGAGCAACCATGTCCTCATCTTGGAAAATATTACTTTGCTTCAGATCACAATGAACCACGAGTTTTGGATAACCATAGTGAAGATATTCAAGTGCATATGCAACATCAATCATTACGTTCAATCTTTGAGTGATGTCCAAGAAACGATCTTGGGTATACAACCAGTCATCAAGGTTCCCTTTTGGCATGTACCCAAGAACCAGGGATTTTAAATTTGGGGTGGAGCAGAAGCCTAACAGTTTAACAAGATTTCGATGGCGAATGTCGAACATTATCTTGCATTCGACAATAAAGCTTTGGAATGCACCTTCCAGTTGCACATCAAACACCTTTATGGCTAAAATTGTTCCATCTTCAAGAATCCCACTATACACTGTGCCAAAACTTCCAGCACCAATCACATTCTTCTCATTATATCCATCTGTTGCATGTAAAAGTGTATAGTATGATACTCTCTCCACTTCTTTAACACGTAACAATTCTTCAATATTCTTTATATGCTTATTTTTTCTCCAAAAAGTAATCAACACAACTCCCACTTCCAGAGCTAGGATAAGGCCTGTAATTCCCAAGGCCAACAAAATATATCAAAGAATTCTTTTCGCTTTAAACCTTTGAACTACACTTTTATGGAAAGGTAGGGAACTCTAAAAATGTCATCTCCGGATAATGCTTCATTGGATAGAAAGGATAAGCTTGAGATGTTTTTGAAAGGACCATTTGATGGAATTACACCACTGAAGCTATTGAAAGATATATTCAAATGGCACAGATATCTAATTGCCTGCACGGACGTGGGAATTGAACCACTAAAATTGTTATGTGACAAGTGTAGTGATTCCAAGCTCAACATCCCATCTATTGACTTTGGAATTTGTCCATGCATTTGGGTTTGTGCTAAAGAAAGGTTTATCAAATTTTGTAAGCTCCGTATTGTGTTGGGAATGATGCCGGATAAGTTATTTTTTGACAAATCTAGAATATATAAAACCTTTAGATTTTCAATTCCAGAAGGCAACGCCCCACTAAAGGAATTACAGGACAGGTTGAGCGTCAAGAGGTCTTTCAAGTTCCAAAGGTTTGAAGGTATTATACCATTCATTCTATTTGAATCAAGGTGGATATATCTTAGAGAAGTATCGTTCCCTAAGCATTCCGGGATGGGACCCGAAAGTCCATTTTCGCTCAAATAAATTTCTCCCAAATTCTGCACCTTACAAAGATTCCTAGTTAATGGACCACTTAATTTGTTTCCTGCCAAATACAAACGTGCAAGCCTATGTAATGTCTTTGGAACTGTTCCACTCAAGTCATTAGCAGACATTTCTATAGTTTCTAGGCCAGTTAGATTGCCAATTTCATCTGGGATGGTGCCATACAACCCTGAACTGTCTGCAGCAAAGAATTGTAGAGTGGAAGACATATTACCAATGGATCTGGGAAGAGTGCCATGCAGAATATTACCACCCACAAGTAGTGATTTCAACTTTCTGCATTTTGTAAGAGAAGTTATGAATCTTAATTGTGGCGAGGAAGGAACAGATGCCAGTTCATTTACTGACATTCCAAAGAACTTGGAGAAGGCTAAGGTTTTCAAGAGAGTTGGGAATGGAACCACTGAAATTGTTATAATTGAGAGATATAAAAGAGAGTTGGGAACAATTTACAATTGAATGAGGAATGACTCCACTTAACACATTTTTGGCTAGAATAAGATATTCAAGATTGGTTTGTGTAGATCACATAATTGAAGGAATACTACCCAAAAGATGATTATTTGCCAGATTAATTGTACGCAATGTAGTAACGTTGAAGAGCCCTTCGGGTATAGTACCACTTAGATTATTATTGACAAAATCAATCCATTCCAATTTAGAAAGGTAGCTTACTTCTCTAGGTATCATACCTGTTATATAGCACAACATACAATAATTAAAATTCTATCCAGTGAGTGATAACCGGCCTATTAAATTTCTTTTGGAACATTAATTGGCTTTTCAAACGTACCCTTGAAGTAGTTTTCTCCAAGCAATAAAACTTCAAGAGATGATAAATTTCCAATCTCACTAGGTATGGATCCCATGAGCTTGTTGGTCCTCGATGACAAGATTTGAAGTGATGACATGTTGGAAATGAATTTTGGTATATAGCCTATAACCTGGTTTCTTTCTATGCTGAATGTCTTCAAATTATGGAGATTATCCAATTCACGTGGAATTGTTCCTATGAAACAATAAATTGTATAAATTAAATACTCTATCTCACTTGAGGTTATGTAAAATATAATTTGTGACTTTAGCCACAGTTTATACATTTACTCTCCTTGGATATATGTATCTAGAAAATGGCCGATCGAGAGGAAAAGAATTGACTAAATTTAAGTTAATTCAAGAAATTTAATTAAGTCAATATAGAGAAAGATGCATCGAATAATACCTGCTAAATTGTTACCACCAATTATTAGTTTCTGAAGCATCTCCAACTTGCCAAGCTCTTTAGGTATCAACCCATCAAAAATATTGTATGACAAACTCAATGTTCTAAGTTTTGAACATGCAGATAAATTTTCCGGAAGTGCACCATTAAAGCCATTCATATATAAGTAAAGCAGTTTGAGATTTGGAAGTTGATGGCATATGTTTGTGGGAAGAATACCTGACAAACTATTATTTGAAAAATCAATATATTCAAGTGTAGAGATGTTGAAGATTGAGTTTGGAATTGAACCTGTAAGGTGATTACGGTATGTGTCTATCACCTTTAAGTTATGGAGATTTTCGAATTGTTAAGGAATTTCTCCGATGAAGTTATTATTGCTCATATTCAAGAAGGACAAAAAAGAGAGATTTCCCAAGGAGGTAGGAAATTGGCCTAACAAACCCATATTTGAAATATTCAATGCCACCACCTATGGTATTGTGAGTCATAGTGAACTTCAATCCAATGACAGATAGAAGTGGCAGTAGACCAGTTGGTGGCCAAGATATTGTTTGGATGATGAAAAGTGAGTTGGGCTTTGAGAGACAAAAGAATAGATAGATAAAGTATCTATTAGGTCCTTGTACTATAGTGCTTTGTTCAATTTAGTCCATGTACTTTTAAAAGGGAAACAATTAAGGACAATAGCTAATGTAGCGCTGACATTATATTATATCTGTCATGTCATCATACTTACATGCCAACTCATATATTATTTTATAAATATTTAAAATTAATTATTTTTACCACCAATATATTACATTAATATGTCCAAAATAAATACATAAATATAAGTTATTGTCCTTAAATGTTTCACTGTACTTTTAAAAGTACAGGGACTAAATTGAACAAAATTAAGATAAAAGGACCAAATTGAGCAAAATACTATAGTATAGGGACCGCATAGGTACTTTGCTTATATTAGTTAATACCCAAAATCGTCCTCGACTATAGTGGTTTTTCTCAATTTCGTCCTAAATGACTTTGGTGACCTAATATCGTCCCAGACTTTTGTGTTTAGCTCAATTTCGTCCTCCATTTGTTATCCCGTCAAATTGGTGTTAAATAAAGGGACAATTCAATAATGTCAATATTGATCTCTCTTTACTTTCAACTTGTGAAGTGCGAAATTCCTCTTTCTTGTACGAATTACACCCAGAATTACTCCCGGACCTGCAAATCAAATTTTATATTCGCAATTTTAGGAGTAATTCTGGGAGTAATTCGTAAAAAAAAAAAAAAAAAGGGATTTGGCAGTTCACATGTCTATGAGTAAAGAGATGCCAATATTAAAATTACTTAATTGTCTATTTATTTAACACCAAATGGACAGAATAACAAATGATGGACTAAATTGAGCAAAAGCACAAAAGTCTGGGACTAAATTGCGCGAAACACAAAAGTCTGGGACGATATTAGGTCACCAAAGTCGTTTAGGACGAAATTGAGAAAAACCACTATAATCGAGGACGATTTTGGGTATTAACTCCATGGAGATCTAATGAATATGACTTTAATTTGCTTGGTAGTTGCTAATGAGCTATGAGCTAAGGTATAAATAATTGGTGTTACCGACCTAATCAATGAATGAAGATAAATACAACTTTTAATTCCCAAAAATCAGATTACTTTCACATTTAATGATTTTCAAACTTTAATGTGAATTACAAAGTGTGGTATAAAAAAATGGCTTAGGTAAATGTAAATCACAAATGTCAGACTAAATGGAAAGTGAAATAGTGGATGAGGGTAAACCATGGAACATGACTAACGCCAGTCTAATCTGTGCGTTTTCAATCAAGAAAAAATTGAGAATTATTGCATATGATGATATATGAAAAAGTAAACTTGATTTATATTTATTTTGATTTATTATACCATTTTTTGTCATCCGAGAATATTGATATTTTCATTTTTTAGTCTTTCAATCTACAGGAGTTAATTTTCCGAACATTTTGTGTTTTTTCAATTATTATAGCCACTTTCAAAACATCATTTTCAACGTCAACTTTCCATCAACCTTTCAACCAATATATCTCAAACACCATAATCATCGTAAAACCATTTTCATTAACATCTTACGTTTCTACCCTTAGAAGTTTTTATCATAGTTGTCTAGAATCAACTTCGTCACAACCATTATTGGCTTTTACCATTGACTAATATACATTTGTATCTCTCAATATTTTTTCAGTTTTGATGTCTAACTTTATTCTTTTTATCAGTTTCTGATACACCCATGGTGTTGCTGGAGTTATTATTATTATTATTATTGTTAGATATAATATGTGGCTCAAATTGTGTGGCTCAAAATCATGAAGACCACTCACCATGAAACTAGCATCCATGTTTCACATCTTCACCTAATTTCTTGGGTCTTCTTACAATCACCCACATTTGTCTCTAGTTTGAAATGTATAAATAGGCTAGAATTCCTTTGTAATCAGGCATCAATTCTTACATCAATTCATATATTTATTCCTTTGTCTTTTTCTCTTACGTAGCATATATATATTATATTCATTCTTTCTATTCTTTTATGTTATAATATATATATTTCCCTTATTCCTAATTCTTTTGTCATTATTTATATTTTTCCTATTATTTAACTTCTATAATTTTCAATTTTCGATTCTTCGCTTCCGCATTATTCCGCTATATTCCTAACAAGTGGTATCAGAGTGGTTTAATTGAGAGTTATTTTCAAAGATGTCAACTGTTACCAAGTTCGATATCGAGAAGTTCGACGGGAAAATTAGCTTTTCTATCTGGAAGGTTCAGATGGAAGCCGTTCTAACCCAGAACGGTTTGAAGAAAGCGCTAGCTGGGAAGAAGAAGAAACCGGCTACAATGACAGATGTAGATTGGGAAGATCTGGATGACAAGGCACGTTCAACCATTCTTTTGTGCCTGTCTAAAGAGGTTCTACGTGAGGTGTTAAGTGAGACGACTGCGTCAGATTTATGGTCCAAGTTGGATACGCTTTACATGGCCAAAACTCTGGCGAACACGCTACGCCTGAAGGAGCGTCTGTACACAATCCGTATGACGGAAGGTACTTCTATTAAATCTCACTTGGATGAATTCAATTCAATTTTATTGGACTTGGAAAATATTGATGTTATAATTGAAGATGAGGATCGCGCTGTTTTATTGCTTGTCTCTCTCCCTAGATCATACACGCATTTCAAAGAAATTATGTTGTATGGTAATAGTAGTGATACCCTTACTTTCGACAATGTTAAGTCAAACCTATTATCCAAAGAAAAGTTTGACTTTGAAATTAAGTCTGAGGACAAAGGTGAAGGCTTGACCGTAAGGGGTCGTTCACTTGAATCAGGGAGTAGCAATAAAAATTCTAGATCCAAGTCCAAAAGACGTAAGTCCGACAAATCCTGTAAGTACTGCAAGAAGCATGGTCATGATGTGACTGAATGCTTCAAGTTGAAAAACAAGCAAGAGAGAGAAAAGAAGTCCGCTGAAGCTAGTGTTGTTGAAAGTGATTCAGAAGGCGATGTTTTGTTATATGTTAGCTCCGGTTGCAAACGGAGCGAAACCGAGTGGATTCTGGACTCTGGTTGTACATTCCACATGTGTCCTCACAAAGACTGGTTCGTCTCTCTGGAACCGGTTGATGGTGGAGTTGTCTTGATGGGTGATGATACCCAATGCAAGGTTAGTGGAATTGGAAGTGTGCAGATTAAAACTCATGATAACGTTATCAGGACTCTTACCAATGTGCGGTATATTCCTGATTTGAAACGCAATCTGATATCGTTGGGCACCTTGGAATCTCTGGGGTACAAGTACATAGCTGAAGGTGGAGTTTTGAAGGTCATAAAAGGCTCTGTTGTTCTCATGAAAGCTTCTCGTTCTGGAAGCGTGTACGTCTTGCATGGCAGTACTGTGACGGGTTCAGTAGCGGTATCCTCATCGATGTCTGAAGTGGATCTCACTCAATTATGGCATATGCGTCTGGGGCATATGAGTGAGAAAGGCATGCATCTCCTGAGCAAAAAAGGCCTCCTTGGTGGTTCAGGTACGGGTAAATTACAATTTTGTGAGCATTGTATTTTTGGGAAACAAAAGAGGGTTAGTTTCTCTACTGCTACACACCGTACCAAAGATGTATTGGAATATATACATTCTGATTTATGGGGACCGACTAAATTCCAGTCTATGGGAGGCTGTAGATATTTTATTTCTATTATTGATGACTTTTCTCGTAAAGTCTGGGTCTATTTCCTGAAACATAAAAATCAAGCATTTTCTATTTTCAAGAAATGGAAAATACTTGTTGAGACTCAGACAGGTAAAAAAGTCAAGAAGCTCAGGACAGACAATGGCTTGGAGTTCTGTGAGTCAGATTTCAATGACTTTTGTGCGGCAAATGGAATTGCCAGGCACAAGACCTTGCCTGGTAAACCCCAGCAGAATGGTGTTGCCGAACGTTTGAACAGGACTTTATTGGAAAGAGCTCGTTGTATGCTCTCTAATGCTGGGTTATGGAAACGGCGTGATTTTTGGGCCGAGGCCGTTTCTACTGCTTGCTATTTTGTAAATAGATCTCCATGTTCATCCCTTGATTTCAAAATTCCAGAGGAAGTTTGGTCAGGTAATCCTGTTGACTATTCTATCTTAAGAGTT